AATTAGGCAGGATGTCCCCTTTCCATGAGGCTGGACCACTGGGGTTCTTTTCCTTCTGCCCCCTCCCACCCCTCAACTAGATCATGACGTCGGAAAATCAGGTTAAAGATTAAAAAAAAAAAAGAATCAGACTGTTGGGAATTCTTAGTAGGATGTCACCGTTGGGAGCTGCTCGCCCAGTGGGTGTGCTCCGTGGCCCACGCCGCCCTCTGGGTCCTGGGCTCCGTGGCTACTGGGACGAGGCCTTGGTGGCCAGCGAGGCCACACAATGCTGCTGGAAGCTAGGCGACACAGCGGCAGTGCAGCCGAGTCTCTGGTGGGGCAGCTTGGCGGTGCCGCCTGCACCCACGCCAGCTGTGTCCACCTCCGCCGTCCAGGGCGGGTCCTGGCCCATCATGCTGCTGCAGCAGCCGGGGCTGGCGCTGCACGTCCGCTCACCCGCCAGGCTGTCCGCCTGCTCCGCCAGGAGCCTGCTGTGCCGCAGTGGCGCCGCGGCCCCCGCGGCCGCTGTGGCTGCGCTCTGGCCCTGCAGGACGGTGGCGATGTGGTTCAGGAGGTCTGTGAAGAACTCGCTTACACCCTCGTAGCCTGCAGGGAGGACAGACAGACAGCGCGGGGTGCTCAGCCAGGTGAAGTGGAGATGGGCCCTGGGCATGGGGACAGAGATGGGGACGTGGGGACTAAGGGACCCCCAGACCCAAGGTAGGGGCTTTCGTGATTTACAGAGAAAACTGAGGCTCAGGAGGGCCGACAGAAGTCACGGCCTGGACTCAAAGCAGGGTGCACGCGGCCCCCTGGGGCTGGTGCTTGAATTCGCTGCCCCCAGAGTGTGAGAAGCTGGAGAACTTGCTGATGAGGAACTATCCGCCACACTGCCCGCCTCGGGCGCAGCTTCAGCAGCTCCTTAATCACCTCCCCAACGTGGGACGACGCCATCGAGCAGGGGTGTGGCGTGGCTGGAGGTGGCGGCACCAAAGGCCCACTCCTCACATTCTGAGTCACAAACACCCCTCGCTGCCATGTGGCCCGGCCTCAACTCCTTCATGTGTCCGGGGACGCTCCAGCGGGCACCACCAGGTGGACTGGAATGAGGGTGACGCCTGAGCAACAGCAGCTGCTTCTGGAACCGGAGTCCTCCTGTCCCCCGAGACACCCGCGGGGTACTGCTTGTGCCGCGTGCTCTGAGCACCGAAGCCAAAAGGCAGAAACTGGGCTCCCTGGAGACGAGGCCACCGCACGCTGACGTCCGCTGCCCCTAACGAAGCGGGGGCAGCTCCCCTGGACAGGAGCTGCCGGAGCCCGCCTGGGGCCTGCGCTCCCAGCACGGGCGCAAATCACACATCAGCAGATGAGTCTCCGGGAGCCGCCCACCGAGCAGGGGGAGGCTTTAGGGCAAGGATTCTGCTGACTCCCGAAAACTGTTTCGAAAGCAATGTGATGCAGGGTGGGTGCCCCCACCCGCTGGGATCGATTTGGAGGGATGAGAACCAAGCGCGCCACTGCGAGAATGAGCTCAGGACAGGAAGTGTGTCCCTGGCAAGGACCAGTGTGCCTGCTCTGGGAGGGGCTCCGGGCACCTCCCACGCCCCACTCCCCGCGGCTATGACCTCACCACCAGCACGGGCCTGGTGCTGAGGTGACTGACACCCCCGTACCCCTCAGGACGGGCTTCGCAGCAGCCAGCAGCACACGCCAGTGAGAACGGAGGTTCGGGAATGGGCGGGGCTGCCTCATTTGTTCTGACTCTTATTTGTGGTTTTGAGGGAGCCCAAGGCTGAGAAGGGGAAGGAGAGGTCCCCGCAGGAAAATTAAAATGGGGGAAGTGGGGGGGCATGCGTGGGGCTTCCACGCGCACAGCATCCCCTCACCTACTCTCCTCAGCGCTGTCCCCATGGTATGGATGAAGAAACAAGACAAAGCGAGTTAAGTAACTGGCCTCAAAGACCAAAAAAACACAAACATGCCGCTTGCAACAACATGGATGGACCTCGAAATAATCATACTAAACAAAATAAGCCAGACAGAAAAGGTTGAAAACCACATGATATCACATTTGTGGAATATAAACCTAAAAGCAACAGATAAACAGGACAAACAGAGACTCATGGACGTGGACGATGGGCTAGTGGTTACCAGAAGAGAGAGGGGGAAAATAAAAAAATAAGATGTTAAAAAAAACAAGCCACAAACAAACAAAGCCGTCACCAGGCAGATGTGTGACTGCTGAGCACGAGCATGGAGAGGGTGACAAGGATCCAGGCTGGTGTCCGTCCAGGGTCACAAAGCAGTGGCCCCGCTCACGGAATCCTTACAGCCCCAGGGAGAGGGGCCCTCGGGGCACCCCATTTTACAGATGAGGACACGAACTCCTAAGTGGCAGAGCCAGGACCTGCACCAGGCCCCCTGGTCCCGCCTGTGCCGTGAAGACCATGTGGTGCCAACCAACCCCCCCGCCCCGCCCAGGACTGGGGCTTCTCTCAGTCAGCTGTGGGGCTGGGGGAAGGCCACGGCGACCTGGGCCCCTCGGAGGCCACCAGCAGGTGCGTTGCTGGGTTTCCAGGTAGAGACACGAGCAGGGAGGAGAGTGGAGATCGCGTCAGGCCAACACCAGGGACACAAGCTGGTCCCTCAGCAACCGCCCTGCGGTCCCAGAGGAGGGCTGGCGGGTGCGCTTCCTAGTGTGGCTTGCAGGCCTGGGGCGGACGGGAGGCCGGGGAAGGCCCCTCAGATCTGCTCGCGGTACCCGCAGCTCCATGTCCACCTGGAGACACGGCTGAGAGATGAACTAGCACTGTGAAGACCAGCTCGGGACCAGGCTACGCAAACACCATCTCCTCTGTCTCTGCGAGACGGACACCGCCTCCTCGGGGGCCCCGAGTGTCACGCCTTGCTCTCGGGCCTTCCCTCACCAGCACCCGCCAGGCTCCACACTCCAGGAGGCTTCAGGCCCCTCTGGGCCTCCCTGGGAGAAGCCGCCATCCCTGCGGGCTCACAGTGACTGTCCCTCCTCTGAATGCCCAGGACGCCCTCATGGGGGCGGGGATGGGGGACACACGGACAGGCTCCTTCCCTCCTTGCTGCTTGGCTCGGATGTCGCCGCCTCGTGCAGGATCCCCAAGCACCCCCATTCTCCCTCTTGAGGGCAAGGCCCCGAAAGCTGTGCTCATGCTGCATCCCGGTCCCTGGGCCCTTGATAAACGTCAACTGAATGACTGAAGGAGCCAGCGGCTCCTCTGAGACCTGACTTCCTTGGCTGCGAGCTGTGCTGCTGGCTGGGCCTGACTTGCATGCTCTCCGAGGCGTATGGGGAGGGGGGTGGGGGACCGGACACGTGACACACGCGTCCAGCATCCGGCCCACGGCCTCATGCGGCACAAATGCCCCCTGTGCGTGAGGGCTTCCTCACACCCTGCAAACACCCGCCGAGCACCTCCCACAGGGTGGTGTCTCCCACTGAGCCCCTCGCTGAGGCGAGATCTGAGGGGCACTCGGCAGAGCCGGGTCATGCTAGCAGACCATAAGGGCCCAGCATGTGCTTCTGCCAGCTCAGAGCTCCAGGAGACAACAGGAGGCAGGCGCCCAGCCCCAGAGAGCACTGTGGCTCAAGGTGGGAAGGAGGACAGCCCTGCCACCAGCCTGCAGTGTGGCCTGGGTATTTTCTCTGAGGGCCTCGGTACCCAACATGTAACCTGTGGGGTTGTATGCTCTCCAGCATCCTTTCAGCTCTTCAAATCTACGAGGGCCCAGGGGTCGGCTGAGATTTGGCTAATGAGGGCCAATGCTGATGGCACAGGGTCAGGCAAGGCAGGTGGAAGGACGCGTGTGTGGAGCGGGCCTACTGTGCACACTCCCTGGCGGGGTGCACGGACTCCTTCGCTCCCCCAACACCCTGTAACACCATTCGCAGGTAGGGCTCAGGCTTAGTGGGGGCTGTATCTACACCAGGCCCCCGAAAAACGAGGGATGAAACCTGCCTGTCACCCACCCAGGACGCCGGTCCCCACGGCTCACCTGGGAAGGCATTGATGTCGATGACGGCGTGCTGCCCCGTCTGGTTGTTGATGATGATGTCGATGCCGAAGAGTGACACGCCCAGCGCCTGCCGCAGGGCCTGGGACAGCCCCCGGATGACCTCGTCGCTTGGCCGCTCGAACACGCCCTCAATCTTGTCCAGCTGCCGACACACGACGCGCACACGGGACTCAGGCCGCGGGTGGGGAGGCGCAAGCCACACCACAGAGACCCCCGGCGAGGTGCCCCAAGGCTGGGCCTCACCCCCAGGCAGCACAGAGCCACCGTGGCCGGCCACTCCTCAAGTCCTGCTGCCTGGGCAGGCCCGTGGTGGACAGTGCCCAATACCTCTCGAGTCCACCTGCAAGGTGGATGTCATTGCATTGTACACAGGGACGCAGATGCTCAGAGAGGGTCAGGGGCTGGTCCAGGGCCACACAGCACAAAAGTTCAAGGCGGGATTCGTAGCAGGTTTGTTAGCCTCTAAAGCTCAACCATCTTGGCAGGGAGAAAGGAGATGGGGTGTCATGGACCAGGAAGACTGCGGGGCAGGGAGCACGAGCTGGGCCTCGAAGGTGGGACAGAGAAGGAGGAGAGTCACCTGCTGAGGGTGAAGTGGATACAAAGGCACAGGGGCAAGAACCCGCAGGAGAGCTGGGAGCCCGTGGAGCAGTCAGGGCAGAGGTGGGTATGGGGGGCGGGGGGTGGGGGGCTGTCGTCAGCATCGCTGCACTGGCCCACCATCGCCAGAGCCTCCGGGCCGTGAAGCGGGGGGTTCCGTGGAACAGCCATCGTGTGCTGCCCAGTCCCGGAGGAGCACAGGGCTCCCGGGTGGGGCTCACGAACCTCCCCTTCCCAACAAAGGGTGGACTGCGGTGTTTCCACACTAACTCGCACCCCACACAAACGTGACTCCCCAAAGAGGCCTCCCTGCTGCTCCCGCCAGACTCCTGGTCTGAGTTCAGCCTCCAGTGACGCCTCCGTGGGGCTCGTGTGTGGTCCCCTAAACTCCCCTCCCACACTGTGCATCCTGTTTCAGCATCACAGCTGGCCTAGGACAGGTGCTCACGTCTTCGTGGGCTCAAGTGCGGCCCTTGGCCAGGGCCTGCAGGGAAGTAAGTGGAAGGTTGCACTGGGAAGGATCTGGAGTCAGAGGAACTTGGGTTCGAATCCTGACGGTGACTTCCTAGCTTTCAGGTCTTAGAGAAAAGTGCTCTGCCTCTCTGTGCCTCAGTTTGCTCATCTGCGAAATGGCGCCGATGGGGCTTCCATCCCACAGTGCTGGGAAGGACCATGAAGCCACTGACGTGGTGGGGACAGCACCGCGCTGCCACCGTCCGCCAGAACAGGTGCACGGCAGTCCTGGCGGGCCGTACGGGCTCAGGGGCCGGCGGGGAAGAAGGGCAGCCGACCCATCAGACACAAAATTACAGCTGGGTGAAAAGTTAAACTGGGAATTACCACATGACCCAGCAATTCCACTCGTAAGTATATATCCCCAAAAGAAGTGAAAATAGCCGCGTGTAGGCCAAAGTCCCCAGGAGCGCTATTCACCAAAAGGCAAAAATGATCCAAACACCTATCGACGGAGGAACAGAGAAACAGACTGCCGTGCACACCACGGAACGTCATTCGGCCACACAGAGCTACAGCGCGGATGAATCTTGAGAACATCAGGCAAAGTGAAAAACCCAGGTACAACGGGTCATGCATCATATACTTCTGCTCACATCAAAGTTCCAGAAGAGAGAACGCCACAGAGACAGAAGCAGATTACTGGTCACCGGGGGCTGAAGGGAAGCGGGCTCTGGGGGGACTGACTGCTGGATGGGGGCGGGGTTTCCTTCTGGGCGACGAAAACGCGGCAGAACCAGACAGAGGTGGTGACTGCACGACGTGGTGGCTGTGCTCGGTGCTACTGCACCGTCCGCTTTCAAACGGCTAACTCTAGGCTGTGTGAGTTTCACCTCAATTTTTTTAAAAAGAGTGAGGCTGGGTCGAGGGCTGGGGGCAGAGCCCTGGGCCTCAAGGGCAAACATCCCTAATCCCAGCACCGGAAGCTGCAACACCAGTGGCGACCACCTTCCAAAGCCCTGCAACGCAGGGGCCCCTCTCCTGAGCAGCCTCCGCGCGCCGCCGTGAACGGCCCCCGCCAGCTCTGAACATCAGGCGGGGCGGGGTGGGGCTCCTCAGGCTCATACCCCACTGCCTCAGCTCCTTGTGGGGAATACGTTCTAAGGGGCGATGCCAGTCTGGTGTGACAGGCACTCGTCACATAGCACCTGCCGTCTCTGGGTCACTCCTGCCAGTGAGTGGTCAGAGGCTCAGCCCAACACGGCAGCTCGACCACTGGTCCTGCGGTCCAGGTCCCTCCCCAGGTCCGGGAGACCCAGGGGGACTCGGCGCTGCCCGCTGCATGCTCTAAGCCACAGGGCCCCTGTCTGGGTCTTGTTTTCTCACCCCAGTAAGTGGGGCGACATAGACACGCCATCGTGGGGCTGTGCTGAGGACCCAGGAAGCTAACATTTAAGGCTCGCAGGGCAGGCGTGGCCGCGAGGGGGCTCTGGTCGCCACGCTAGGACCAGGTCTGGTGGCACGCTGTCTGTTAAAGCGCTTTCTCGGTTTGGCTAAGGAATCTCAGCCCTTTGACAGTCTGGAACCCAACAGCCATCCTAGGACAAGGCAAAGGCACGGAAACCCTGCCCGCAGGCACAAACAGAAAGGGGACAAGGACATTCTCCCGGTGGCCAGGGAGGAAGTGAGCCATGTTCGAGTGATCGCCTGTCACGGCCGATACTGCCAGCACGCTGCGACTTGTCCTAGTAACTCCTGGAGTCCCGCAACCACCAGCGGGCGGGATGGAGACCCCGAGGCCCAGGGAGGCAACGCTGTGGAGTTGGGTCTGACCCCAGTCTCGTCGGTGTCCACGCCCCAACCTAACCAGTACCCTGTCCCGGTGTTTGGGGCCTGCGAGCTGGGTCCACCTTCGGAACATCCAGCTGGGGTGGGAGACAGACCTAGGAATAAGAGGGACCTCCAGTGGGCAGCAGGATGGTAAGGGGCATGTCTGGAACGGAGCTGGCTGTGCCAGGCTGGCCTGCGGGTGCGCAGAAGGAGCTTATGTCCTAAATGAAGGGGACAGCTGACTACATTTCCTTTTTCTATTTCTGTCAGCCCTGGTGGGTTCCTGAACAACTCATGAGCTAGGGGAGGGAGCGAAGGCCAGCCCCACAGGGGGAGGAAAGGCTCCAAGAGTGTCCCTAGGCTGACTCCCATTTTACAGGAAAAAAGGCTGGCCTGCAGGTGCGCAGAAGGAGCTTATGTCCTAAATGAAGGGGATAGCTGACTGCATTTCCTTTTTCTATTTCTGTCAGCCCTGGTGGGTTCCTGAACAACTCATGAGCTAGGGGAGGGAGCGAAGGCCAGCCCCACAGGGGGAGGAAAGGCTCCAAGAGTGTCCCTAGGCTGACTCCCATTTTACAGGAAAAAAAAAAAAAAAACAGGCCAAATGGCAGACAAATGATTATCCAAGAAGGTCACTTTCAGGTGGGACATCGGGCATCCAGGAGGGAGCCTGACACACTGGGGAGCAGCGAACGCCCAATGACTAGCTGCCCTGACCCCACCGCCTGCGCAAACCACCCCGGCACCCGCGGAAGTAACGGCAGGCTCTTAACAAACACTTACGAGACCCACAGGGGCAGGAGAGAAAAAGGAAAGATAAGAAGGTGTCACCTCCAACCCCTCTATTTTAATGTCAGTAGAAGCAGGTCATCGAATGCCTCCTGATTGGAGGGACGTCCTCATGCTGGGGGAGGAGCTGGAAAATCTCCCATCCGGAGTAACCCAGTGGTGAGCGGGTGTGGCCATGACGGTCATTGGCATGAAGGCCCGAAGCCAGCAAGGACGAGGGGCCTTTGGAACCTCGCCTGACCCTTAGCACTGGGGCCAAGGTCCCTCCCTCCCACCCTGCCCCGTTGGAGAGCTCGGCCCTCACAGCTGACAGCCGACAGCAGCCCAATGCCAGGCCCACACCGGGCCACCATGGCGGGAGGGACGTACCTCAGTCAGGACCGATGACGACTCTGGCTTGGACACGTTGTGGCTGTTGAAGAAGATGGACTCACGGTCTGAAAAAGCAAACGTGGAGAAGCCAGTTAGAAGCTCCACAAACGGATGGCAACTCCACTGCCCGACACCAGGGGGCAGCACCACCCTGGCCACGGCCTATGGCGGCCACAATGGCCTTAGGCTCAGAGTCCAGCAGCAGCCACCTGGAGCCCCAGCAAGCCGGACACCTCCCCCGCAAGGAGACACCACACCTCGGACAGACATATGACCAGTCAGGACTCTTGCTTCAATTCTCCTCCTCACGTTAAGACAACTGACTTAATGAACCTACCTGACAACTGACTTAATGAACCTACCTGTGCCACCATCTCACAGTGTCAGACCTGGTTTTCCCCAGCACCGAAGGCTCCGTGCCCAAAGTGCGTCTAGTGTTTCTCACGGACACGGCATAAGAAAGGAGGCTGGAGTGTGTGACTAAGTGAGCCGGAAATGCTGTGGACCCAGATATCAAAAACCTGGGGTGAGGAGGTCCCGTAATTCCGTTTAACCCAGCCCTTCCCAACCCCTCCCAGCGTCTGCCCAAGGACCGCTTTTCAGGGCAGTGCTTGAGAAGTGGCCAGGCTGCCACTTGGCACGTGAGTATCTGAGATATAAGGGTTCTGCTATTTTCTAACTATTTAGGGGAAACTAGGAAATCAGAACGTGCGCCTCCACAGGAGACATTCGAGAAGGCACACAGGATGATCTGTTTGGCTTTGGAAGCCGGCACGGCCCCCTCAAGTGCTCACCTCCTCCTATGCCATACTCCCAGAGCTGTGCCCACCTCTACCGCACCCCATGGGGGCATCCAGAGAGGCAGACCGAACCCAAGCATAATGGGAGCAATGAGCAGGTAGCATGTTTTACTCGTCCCTTGGAGAGGAAAAAAGGTCGGTCAGCTGGTAGGAAACACGTTCTTCTGCACTTGGAAGTGTGGACACGTGAATGCAAGAATCGCGAAACCACGAGCCTCAGGCCGGACGCCAGAAAAGGCTGCCTATCACCACCCGACACCCCACAAGCATGGCACTAGCCATGAGACCCCCGTGCCCCACCACACACTGCTCATCCCTGGGATCTGGGCCCCTGAGCACAGGACAGAACAGGCCCTGGCTGGGCACCACTCTGCGCCGGGGACCGGGCCAGGCGGGCAATGCCCTGGCTGCCTGCGACCCCCACCGGCTCCGGGATGCAGCGACGCAAGGGTCATGCACAAGGAGGTGGCCTGGGTGGAGGCCGAGCAGGCAGGCGCTGAGATGTACCTGGCGTCCTTCCCGCCTGCGGGCCACACAGGCCCCTCGCTGCCCCGGAGTGCCCGAAAGTCCTCCCGCCGCTCCGACCAGAGCCGGTCCAGACGGGGGGAGCAAGAGACGGTCCCGGGGAGGAGCCTGGGGAAAATAAACACCCTGCAGGACTTGTGCCAAGCAGCTCCACAGACCTCTACTCCTGGGAGCCAGCAGCCAAGAAGAGTGAGCCTGGGGGGTGGCAAGCCCCCCGGGCCAGAGGCTGGAGCAGGGCTCAAGCTGCTGGGATGGGCATTCTGGCCTTTTGCAGGCACTGCCCCTTCTCATCCAGTACCAGCCTGGCCCAGCCCCACTGAGCTCAGGGCACCACCCGCCCACCCCACCGGTGCCCAAGGGCAGTGCCCAGGGAGGCAGAGCAGACCTGGGGGAAGGGCCACCCAGCAGGGAGACACGAGTTCAGGGAGGCTGGAGAGCCTGCAGGAGCCACGAGGAGACACCGTGGGTGCTTAGCTACACCAGTCAGGGAAGGAAGTGAGCACTCAGAGGGCCCATCTGGTGCCCGCTGAACTGGACAGACCATGTCACCCAACAGCTTCTCGTGGCAAGATCAATCCAAAGTGTGGCCCATTTCAAAGGGGACTCATTGCTCCTCCTGACGGACGCTAACCTGGGGCTCTGGCCAGGCCAGCAGAGCCGCCCTCTGTGCAGACCTTCCCCATGTGCAGCCTGAGCAGGGGCCGGAGGGAACGGGAATGGCTGGGAACCGCTAACCCAGGAGACGCAGGAAGCCGCGATGGCTCAGGAGGAGTCAGAGTGACCCTTGGCACCAGCTCCTTGGGCAGCACTAAGATAACCCTCTGAAGTCCCTCTGAAGATGGGCCTGGCCAGGTCTTAGCTCTCTGATTGCAGAATCACCCTGGATTTGGAGGGCCCCGTCCACTCTCTGTTCCCAGACTAGTCCCAAGACACATCAGGCCCAAGCCCAGGTGAAGGGCCATCACCACCTCCCTGCAGGGGAGGGAGGGAGGGCAATGAGAGAAAAACTGGTGTTCTTGCCCAAATTTACGGATGAAAAAAAACAGGTTCAAAATAAGAAGAGTAAATGACAAGATTAGCCTCGAAGCCCCCAGTAACTCAATGGTGCAGCCATGAGCTACGGCCACAATTTCTTCAGTCTCCTTTGCTTAATCTTCACGTCTCTCTCTGGGGTAGGGGGTGGTCACAGTGCTGCAGATGGTGGCCCAGGTCCAATTCCCATACACGTATCACCTCTGCAGTGGGACCTCTCACCCAGCGATGTCTGAGGACCCATGCATCTTGTGCCACAATCCTTTTATCATTTTTTCCCTGGGGTGCGGTTTCTCCCACTAAAATATATGTTCACGAGGGTGAGAGCGATATGGCTGAGCATCAAACCTCAGCAGCTCTAGATGAGAGAGCAGCAAACTACAGATTGCAGGCCAAATCTGGCCTGCCACCTGTGTTTATAAATAAAGTTTTATTGGAACACGGCCCTGCCCATTCATTTATAGCGTCTACAGTGCTTTCATGCCACAACGGTGGCATCAAATAACTGACGGACCTGGAAATATGTACCATCTGGCCTTTTGCAGGGAAAGCCTGCTGACTCTGCTCTGTGCGGTAAGTGGCACCGTTCTTTTATACACCCTCAAGAAAAAGGCCCAGGATGGAGAGTATAATCAAGGAGCTGTGTCTTCAGAGTAAAGGAGACAAGAAATAACACCACTGCACAAGGAGGAGCAGAGAAACGTGCTTGACCCTGGCAATGGATGGAGAGAAGGGAGCGGTCTCCCCAAGACTGTGAACCACAGGCAGAGAATCCAAGTGTTCCCCGTGGCTGTCAGAGGCCAACGTCAACCCCTCCATGAGAACGTGACTTCAGTTCCAGCAGAGGCAGCTGCAAGATGCCACTGGCTGTGGGACACATCTGACTTCAGGAGTGATAACACGAAGAACACAGCAGCCGTGGAGGAAGGCCGGTGTCCTCTCCACCCCAGGACCAGAAGAATCCCACTCAAGAAGACCGTAACTGCCGGCATCACAGGGGACGCCAGGGGCCGCCACCCTGCGCAGCGGGGACGAGAAGGCCGGGGTGGGGGCAGGGAAGGAGGCCCAAAGCCCACGCCAGCCCCCTGGATGACGCCCTGAAGCACCTTTGGGGATGGACAATAAACATGCTGGAAGTTACTCAGCTTGCCCGAGCACGACAAACATTTCTCCGTCAGCTCAGTGTGTTTATCCTCACTCAGCCCGGCCCGGGTCTGCATTTCACGGCAAACTGGTGACCTGGAAATGGCCCCGGGAAGACTCACAAGACACGGAACCCTCATCCTCGGACACACGACACACGACACAGAGCCCAGCCCGGCCAGAAACTGGCCCAGCGCTTTGCAGCTGGGAGAAAGAGGAGGAAAAAAGTGATACTTTTTGTGTAGAAAGGAAGGAAATTGTGGTAAATTCCTTTAAAAGATGAAGTAAATTTTTTTGTAAAAAAAAAGTATAAAAAAGGAGACTACACAAGGTAAAGCTACTCTTAATCTAATACATTTCCTAAAGATTTAAAGCACATGTTCTTTTAAAAATAAGAAAAAAAATACAGAGGATTAAAAAAAACACCAACAGCCTCTTCTGGCCCACAATTTATGAGAACGTCTCTTGCCTGTATATAGTCAGGTACAAAAGAAGTTCTGTGTCCCTCACCCCCAGGTCGACCCAGTGGGCGGGGGGCTGGGACCGGGGTGAGGAGGGGATGTCACAAACTCCGACAACAGCCTCTCTGGGAAGGGACGGGAAGACAGACACGCATGTCCAGTGTCTGCTCTCAGTGCTGCCACTGGGAAGATGATAGTGGCCTGAAGCCGCGAGGAGCGGATGGTGACAGGCGGTCCCAGCAGGGGGATTTTAGGAAGACACGTCTCTCCGCTCAGATGGAGCTGACGTGGCCTGGGTGTCCCATCCCGTGACAGGGTTTCCCCCGCACAGCTCAGTGCACGGGGGCCGGAGCGAACCACTCCGGGGACACCCACCACCTCCAACGGGCCTCTTGGGGAGACATGCTTATTCCACAGACGCCACCACTGTTCCGAAGGTTTCTGGAACCTGCTTTGGAGACGCCTTTTAGAACCACTCGGACATTCTTTTTTTTGAGCAGCCCCCATACCAGCAAATCCTCATCTCGGTGTGTTTCTGAATTGGTCATCAGGTGTCAGATGAGAGGCTGAAGAAAGCTTAGTTTGCGGAGCCACCAGCCTCCCAAGAGGACCCCTCAGATGCCCCAACTGACAACAGCATCCTGCAAACACCATCACCGTGTGACGTCGGAGGGACGCTGAGGACCATGACCCACTGATCCAAAACACACTCACGGACATGGCCCTCGCCGCTGTGAGGGGCACACCAGGGGTGATTATGCCCACTTCTGGCCTGCCCAAGGTCCCACGGCTAGGAAGCCCTGTAGCCTGCGTGCTGGCCTGCGTGCTGACTTTTAATGGATCATGCATTCGTCACCTCAAGGCTGCCGAAGCAACCAGCAAAACTCCGTGTTCCCCCATTCGGAAAAGGGAGACGTGACGAGGCAGCCAGTGCTCTGGCTTTCAAAACACAAAGGGCCCTCCCTCCCTTGCTTCCTTGAAGGGTCGACCATCCATTCTGGTGTATTACTCCCGAGTCCCATTGCACAGGGCCCTGGGAAGAGATCTGGGTGCAGAGAACTTTCAGGGGCTTCCCAGAGCTGATGGTGTTTCAGGTGGATGGAACCCCTAACAATGAATGGGATTTTCATTCATTCTCCGACACCTCTTTATGTACTATACACAATTCTGTCAACCTTCGGGTCATAGCTTCTCCCTCCAGAGACAACACGGCGGGGGCAGGGGTTAGTGCTGCGTCCCAGTCAGGCCCCTGGGCTTGGGGCGGCCTGAGACGGTGCTAGCTCTGGTTACCTGATGTGCCTGCAGAGAAGTTCTTGAGCGAGGGCCGCTGGACCACCGTGTAGGATTCCCCGACCACGAACACCTTGTACAGGACGGCATTGTGGTTGATGAAATTCTGGACCACGCAGGGCGGCTGGATGGCGTTCAGGCCCTCCTGGTTGAACACGATGGCCATCTGGGGAGACAGGGGACGAGTCCACTGTCAGCCCACCGTGCCACCAGCCTCAGACAGAGCGGTGCATCACCTGTCCCTGCCACCAAGGCCCATCCCTGGCCCTGCGGCATGAGGACTCCCCCAGACGGGTCTCAAGGAGGCGCGAGTGGAGTGGGACCGAGAAGAACACGAGGGGCCACTTCACACCTGCGATGGGGGTGGGCGATCCTGCACCGTCGGGCGCACCACGTAGGCTGCGCTGGCTCTGCACCCGTAACATCGCTGTTCACACTGCAGTCCAGGCAGTGGGATCCTCAGATGCGCACTACTCAACCCTCAGGGCACCCTCGGAGGCTCTTCCACAAAGACCCAGGAGGGGGAGGTAGGAAGCAGAAGACCAGGACCGGGAGCTGGGAGGCCTGGGGTCGGAGCCTGTATAATGACGAGGGCTGCCTCCTGTTGAGCACTCACGACAGGCCAGGCCCTGTTCTAACCACTTCACGTGAGTCACCTGGTGTCCTCACAGTCCACCCGAGGTGGGCACTGCTATCGTGCCCCTTTTACAGATGAGGAAACCGAGGCCCAGAGCAGCTCAGTGGTTTGCTGAAAAGTGACAGAGCCTGGAATGGGACTGGGTCTGGTCTGCCCAGCGTGCAGCTCTGCCCTCTGACATGCTGGCTGGGCCTCAGCGACGCCTGAGAAATGGGCACACGCTGCTCTCGGTCCCTGACGAGAGGGTCTGGTCGGAGACTGAGGTATGAGGGCACAGGGACAGCTGGAGAAAACCTCTCCGCTGTGGCTAAAGCTGGGTCTGCCAGGGGTGCACTCGAGCCAGCCAACAGCCCTGGGCCACAGCTAATCCCCCCGCACACAGGCCCCAGGAAGGAGCCACCAGATGCCTGGGGCTGCTCGGAGGGGACAGCAAGGCCTGGGCAGCTGGCTGCCTGCGCCGGCTGCCACCCCTCACATCACCGTCACAGAGTGCCGCCACCCCTCACATCACTGTCACAGAGTGCCGCCACCCCAACGTGCCTGGAAGATCGGCTGGACAGAGCGGAAGTAAAGGCCCAGGCTGCACGGGAAAGAAAAGGTGTGAGGATCTTCCCTGCATTGAATGTCTCCTGAGAGTAAGAGATGCTAAGAGCCAGTCGTAGGTTCGAGGCTCAGCTCCAGCCTCACTGAACAAATGCGGGCAGGGACTTGCCCCGTTTAAGCTCCACTCTCCTCACCTGTAAAGTAGCATCAGCCACCGTGGGGTGGCTTCAGGGTCTGAGTTTTGGCTCGCTAGATTAAAAAAGGGTCGGGGGACAGTCCACTGTGGAACAAACCAGTGTGCCTGCACCGGCTTACAAACAAAACAGGAAACAAGCATGCTGTGAAAAAACCACCACGTGCACAGGGGAGTCCTCCAGAGGTTGAGAGTAAGTATACAACCGGGGGGTCCTCCCCAGGCACCCCTGAATAGGTGAGGAGCCTGGCTCCCCAGCTCCCAGGCTCATGCTGTGGAGGGCCCCCCAAGAGAGGGTGCCCCTCTGATGCTAACAGCCTCCCAGGAGGCAGGCACCCACAGAGCACGCAAGCCCCCCGGGAGTCCCTAGCACTCCAGATCCCGCCCCCCCCAACACCAGGAGGAGAGAGACCCTCCCTGAAACAGGACACTGGGTGGGGGCAGGGGGCGAGGGGCACATGTGCACATCTTAGAGCCATACTTCGGGGTGAAGTAGCCTCCCCTGAAGGCACTGGCCCTATACCTGAGAGTTGAGACTGACCCCAAGGATCCAGAACCTGAATCCAGAACCACCCTGCTTCTGCGATGACCCAGCAGGCGTAGCAAACACTTCCTATGCCAGGGCAGCACATGCAGCGACTGTGTTATCTTTCACGACCACCATCGTGTCCCCAGTTACAAGTGCGGGGCAGATACTCAGAGAGGCTGAGTAATCTGCCCAAAGTTACCCAGATGACAGGGCAGAGTCTGGTCCCGGGTCCCTGTGATTTCTAAGTTCCTATGTAGATGGCAGAAGCAGCTCCCTCCCCGAAGGCCA